AAAAAATTATTACAACACAAATCTACTCCATGCATTTACTGTTCTGTTAAGCAAAAGTTTGTCCATGTGTTGGCCGAGCCTTGGCCAACATTTGTAGCGGTGGTTAAAAATCGGTAATTTTGTTCAAAATTTAATATTATTTATAAGTTTAAAGCTTACAATATAGTTTATACTTCATGTACTTACCGAAAGTAAGATATTCCGGCCGTTAAATTGCTTTTTCGGGCCTTATTTTTGCAACTTTTGAATACACACTGCGGTATTGTGAGACGGGTTGACATTGGCTGTGTTTGAAGTGAACTAAACAAAATAAGAGCTCACATTTCAAGTGCGCTGTTATTTGACGAGACGGATTTTATGCACTGACCCGAAATCTAGTTACTATTGTTGATCGAAGGAATAATGTGATTTGAGATGACAAGCCGTGATAGTAAATTTTATTAATAATGTAGCTCATTAATACAAAGTTATAGACCAGGGTCGATAATTTTTAAAACCAAAAAATAATAGGATGAAAGCCATTAGAAAAGGAGGGGAATATTATAAAAATGAAAGGTAAAATAATTTACGTGCGATCTGAGGTCGGGAAGGGGGGGAGGGGTTTAAGTGTAAAAAAACGGTTTTTCTCGATTTTCGGCAAAACTAAAAGTCCTATGGAAAAAAGTCAAATGGCAAACTTGTAGGTAATAAAAAGATCTAAAACTTTTGTATTTACACTTTTTCACATAACTTCAAAATTTATGTGAAAAATTCAAAAAAAATAAGTTTTTGGTTTTTTATTTTTATCTTTTGCAAAAAAAATCTTTTTTCACGAAATTTGGTGAAAACTTACCTTTTCATGTCCCAAATACGCTGTAATTTATTTGATTAGAAATATGAATTTTTTCACCTTATTTGGAATTAATATCGAAAAAGCACCCTAATTTTCAATCGAAAATTCACCCGTAAAAATATCAGCTTTTTTCAAAAAGTTGGTATGTTTTCTGTTCGTTGAAATCTCTACTTTCCGATGGTGAAAAAAAATATATGTAAATGAAGATTTACATATATTTTTTTTCTGAGAAGTCAGAAAATGCAAAAAATCGAAAAAAACTCGAATTCCATTTTTTTTTAAAGTATTATATACAATTTTGAGCTATATATTAAAATTTACACTTTAATTACTCGAAAAACATAAGATTACATGTTACATTGATAAAAGAAATGCAAATCAAAATATACTACTATAATTAACAAACAAATAAGTTAATAAAATTAATATTTAATAAGACATCTACAATATTTGGAGAAAGTTGTCGATTCTTCTTTAAATTATATGCGTAGATGCCTATTTATAACTATTTTTAGATGACTTATATACCTGAGTGACTTACGAAAAATTTTAGCCCATAAAAATAATAAAATTCTACAATATTTATATCTATAATAATTCTACCCTGGTCTACATCTGGAATACTTCATATTAATTTTTTTTAACAAACATGTTTCATTATAAAATATTTGGTAAATAAAGATTATTTCTCGTTATGAACTGGTTTTCTGTTATCAGCTCGCCTGTCCTTCGAAATGGGTTTTACAATTAATGAGAGAGGCAAGGTAATGAATAGGCCCGGGGGTAGCCTGTCCTCCTAAATGGGTCTTACAATTAATGATTATTTTTTATTGCCCTTGTAGGCAGACGAGCACACGGCCCACCTGATGGTGAGTGGTTACCGTCGCTCATGGACTTCAGCAATGCCAGGGGCAGAGGCGAGCCGCTGCCTACCAATGAGAGAGGCAAGGTAATGAGTAGTCCTGGTGGGACGGGGTGTGGTCGCTCACCTGGTGCAGCGGACCCTCATGACGGCCTCGAAGCCGATCTTCCTGGTGAGGTAGCGCGTGAGCATGCGCTGCAGCGTGCGCACGTGCTGCGGCCGCGCGCTCGAGTACAGCGGCACGTGGTACACCGACCCGCCGCTGAACTTGCTCATGCCGCCTGCCACAACACACGCCGCAATGTACACTGCGCTTGCGAGTACGCGCGGGTAGGTACCAACACGCTGCCTACTTCTGCCGTGAAGCAGTACCGAGCTTCGGTTTGAAGGGCGGGGCAGCCGTCGTAGCTATACTGGTACTATATAGCAGCGGTCGGGGAACTTTTTTACCCCAAAATATTTTTGTGCAAGTTGATATTACCCTATGGTGAAAAACAAAAAAAAAACGAAATCGCTTCTTTTTAGCATCTTTCATAATATATATAATAATTTTGAAAAGAAAAAAATTACTAAAAATTTAACGACTCTAAAGAAGTTCCACATCAATATATACTTTTTACTCACAAAAATTTCATGTTTACCCCCCAAACTTTCATTTTACCCCATTGGGGGTAATTTACCCCGGTTCCCCGACCGCTGCTATATAGACTATATAGAAGTCGTCGTGGCCTTGAAGGATAAGACGTCCAGCGCATTCGTGTTGAGTGATGCACCGGTGTTCGAATCCCGCAGGCGGGTACCAATTTTTCTAATGAAATACGTACTCAACAAATGTTTACGATTGACTTCCATGGTGAAGGAATAACATCGTGTAATAAAAATCAAACCCGCAAAAATTATAATTTGCGTAATTACTGGTGATAGAACCTCTTGTGAGTCCGCGCGGGTAGGTACCACCGCCCCGCCTATTTCTGCCGAGAAGCAGTGATGCGTTTCGGTTTGAAGGGTGGGACAGCCGTTGTAACTATACTTGAGACCTTAGAACTTAGATCTCAAGGTGGGTGGCGCATTTGTGTCGTAGATGTCTATGGGCTCCAGTAACCACTCAACACCAGGTGGGCTGTGAGTCCGTCCACCCAACTAAACAATAAATATATAAATGACTAACTTAACGTCGCAAGGTCAGAATACTGCGAGTTCAACAGGAACAAGTCAATGGACAGCTGCGCGCCGCTGCAGTCGAGAGCCAAACGTTTGTAGAAGTCGGTCGCCGGGTTCAAGTGGTTCACATCTTTCGAAGATCTCGCGTTGGGATCCTCTCTGCAAACATTATTACATTTATTGACATAAATGGAAAGAAGGCATCGTGTTTCATTTGACTGTGACTATTTTCTGGAGCCACGGACAACGTGCAGTGCATCGTCGAGTCCGCAATCGTCTTGGGGCATGAGGTCGAATCGTTGAAGTCGATGCCTCTTATAATAACAATTATCTTACCCATTCAAATGAACTGCTAGACCTCAAGGTACTATTAGTTCGTTTTGTATGAAACAAGAAGTAAACATATTTTTTTGTTATAGAATAGCAGACGGTACTTAAATTTTTTCAATATTTAAATGCAATAACATCTCTCTGTCAACGGTGACCACGAAAACAATAAAAATATACAAATGAAAAGTGAAGACAATACTACACCCTCCATTTACAAGGTATTTACAATGCTTATATAATAACATCGAGGGATGAAAGCCTATTTGATTTAAGCGACATCTCGCTTAATACGCTATCTTTGTAATTAAAGGTGAGTTTTATTTATAGTAGGTATATATTAATTAAATAATATCATATTATAATTTCACGAATTTGTTTTTGGTTTATTTTACAATTAATTACAATATAATCAGATAAGTACAATATAAATTTCTAAAAGTTCAATTGTTTTTTATTTATTTATTATTTCATGTATTAATTTATTTAGTCATCACTGTCTAATTTCATGTGCGTTAGATGACTATTTGGTGAGAACGCGAGGAGTGCAGTTGTATGATTTGATTTATTTTGTCTATTTAGTGTTTCTTCAGATTTAAATGTGTAATAACGGTGGTTTATTATCTGTTTAATATCACAATGTGAATGTGCACAAATGTGGGGAAATGAAATAAAGTTGCTAGACGTAGCTTCTCGGGACCCTCCAAAAAGTCTATTAAAAAAGTCTCAGTAAATAACCACCATTTTACTGAGATTATATTTCATCCTATTATCATCTCATCTCATCTCATTTCATTTCGTTTTCATTTCATTTCATAATACCATTTTTCATATGAAAAAAGTTTTCATTCAAATTAAAATAGGACTTGACCTTAATACTTTTAAATTTTTACACTGCTATCGGAAGGCACTATGATTTGGCGGATGTTACGTTGCGTCAAGGAACGTTTTCCACAGGAGAAAATCGCCGGATCCCCACCCGCACGGCAGGTGGGGTATGTGGGAGACGAACCTCACTAAAAACTCCTTCACAACCGACGCCCTACCCCGGACCGGGCGGGAACCCAGTCGGAGCTATTGAGACGGCGGGACAGGGTTTACGCAGAGCACATTACATCCATCCCGCCGGTCAAGGAAAGTTAGGCTCATCTAGTCAATTTGTGTGACATGATGACGTTAAAACGCAGCGCTAAGTACGCGTTCTGTTTACGAAGCCTTTATTGCTGACGTGTTGTTGTTGGCGGGGAGCGTGCTCACCTGGAGTGCAGCGCGCCGGGGCCGGCGGTGGGCAGGCACGTCTGGAACACCGTGATGCGCCCGCCCGTTGGCGCCTGCAACACCACACCAGTCGCGGCATGCCGTATTATTTATTGCTTAAGCGGTTACCGAGGCTCATAGACATCTACAACGTAAATGCCGCCACCCACCTTGAGATATTAGTGCTAAGGCCTCAAGTATAGTTACAACGGCTGCCCCACCCTTCAAACCGAAACGCATTACTGTTTCACGGCGGAAATAGGCAAGATCGTGGTACCTACCCGCGAGGATTCACAAGACGTCCTACCACCGGTAATTACGCAAATTATAGTTTTGGGGGTTTGATTTTGTATTACACGATTTTATTCCTTCATCATGGAAGTCAATCGTGAATATTTGATAAATACATATTTCATTAGAAAAATTGGTACCCGCCAGCGGGATTAGACCACCTGTGCATCGCTAGACACGAATGCACCGGACATCTAAACTTGTAGGCCACAACGACTTCATCGACGACGTGTAAGTGGAAACATAGCATTATAATATGATCCGGCGTTAATCACGGGCATTACACCGCGACCCATCGCTACTATTGCTCGATGATGTGACAACAGTGCATGTGACATCCATTGCGCGCTCATTTGACATTGTATCGATTCTTTCTTTTTTTAATACCGCAATGAAACAAAGAGCGATCGCGGTTAGGTTAGGTAGCGCACGCACCATGAGCCTGTAGGCGGCCTGCAACGCGGCGCCCAGCGCGGAGGCGGGGGGCGCGGGGCCGCGGGGCGCGGGGGCGGCGCGCGCGGGCAGGGCGCCCAGCAGCGCGCACACCGCCTCGCGCCGCTCGCCCAGGTTCACCAGCAGCGACTCCGGGGACGGCAGGAATATATCTGCACACAAAGTGTACACACTGTTACGCCATCTATCGCTGAATAGTCGAACGAATATTGAAGGACCTAGTAGTACCTAGAACGCTCGAGAAGTACAACGCCATCTGTTGTCAGATAGCGGAAACTATTATTAGAGATGTGCTGAACATTCTCAATAATTCTAGGGATGAGGTATCGGCTATAAAAGGGCTGTAGAGATGGCACGCAGTCAGTCAGTAATCGGAACTACTCGAAGCGAAATAGCGAACGGATCACCTGAAGCAAGCGATGGAAGCGAATTGAGAATTTGACAATTTTTGTGAAGTGTTCTAGGTTTTCAAGTGTTAAATACAGTTTAAGTTGTACTTTGGTAAAATTTTATTTATCCCGAAATCCAACGCGTAACAATACTCTATTTAGCACTATTCTTCTTTAAGGTTAATTTTCATTGGTCGTTTTGTTTTAAAGGATTTTATGACTTGGTAACTGAGACCTTTAGGTCAAGACTAATTTTAATTTTAATAAAAACTTTTTTATATGAAAAATCATATTATGAAATGAAATGAAGTTGATTAATTAATATGAAACATGGCATGGCAAATGAAAACGAAACGAAAGTAATGAAATATAATCTCAATAAAATGGTGGTCATTTACTGAGACTTTTTCAGTGGACTTTTTGAGGATCCCGAGAAGTTATGCCCAGCGGCTTTGTTTCATTTCCTCATATTTGTGCACTTTCACAGATCCGAAACAGTTAATAAGCCACCGTTATTAAATAACCTGAAGAAACACTAAACTAGACAAAATTAAATCACACAACTTCACTCCTCGCGTTCCCACCAAAAATTCTTTACCACTATTCAAACTTTTGTAACAGTAAATCTACCCTCATTTAAGTGTCAATAGTGTCTAAAGGACGTACCGTCGATGTCCAGGACGGTCATCTCCTTGGGCCTGGCGAGCCCCTCGCCCATGGAGTAGTAGTGCACGTGGGTGTCGTAGCAGATGAAGCCGATCTGCGTCCGCGCGTCGCCCGGCAGCTGGTCCAGGTTGCTCATCAGCACGTCGCAGACGACCTGCAGTTTTTTTGCCAATGACCACAGTGTAATTTCAAAAATTCACATTTCCACAAGGATATCTATACCTATATATTAAATAATACGTGAAGCGAAAACTATGTACCCCTTTTTACGTAAATTGTGCGGACGGAGAAGTATGAAATTTCCCACACTTATAGAGAATATAGAGAAGGAGTGCAGAATGTTAATATTTTTTATACATTTCAATTAAAACATTACACACACTATCATGTATTTGACACACACACTCATGCATACTATTTGTTTATTGTCAAACTTTTCTTGTTGTCTGTGGCCAAATTGAGAATAGATTAATATTGTTTGTCTTTATTATTATGTGCCTAAAGTCTTGGCGAAATCTGTGATTATAGAAGAATAAGTCTTTGACAATAGAATCATAATAGTATCGACTACGGGGGGACCACTAATTATTTTAATTGGCCGTTTATATTGGCTTTACAGAGTGTTTACAAGTGTCCTTAGAAAATGTTGACGTTATAACCTGAAGGTAGCCGGAGTCTGTGGCTATCTGCGACACGTCGAACAAGAACAGGTAGACCGCGGGCTGCGGGGGTCGCAGCATGTACTCGCCGGGCGCGATGAACTCTATGGTCGCCGACTTGATCTCCGGCCTCCGCGACGGGTCGCCGTACGACTTGCTCACCGGGTCGTATTGAAACTCTTCTGGCACTGCAATTCGATACAAACATCGAGTATGATTGACGTGATAACATCTTATAAATAGATAAACAACGGCTGCACGCACGAAAAAGTGTCACGTTCCACCTGAGTCTGAGCGCACGATCACCGCAAGCGTTGGCTTGTGACACATTTATCTATTTTCTCGCGTGACGTCAGAGCGAGCAGTTCGAATAGTTCAGCTATTGACGTTATCACGTAAAGATATCGTCCGTAAACCGACTTTACAAACATTTTTTTTGTGTTGGTAGCCATCATGGAACACAAGATTTTTGACAGGCGTCTGAATCTCACTGACGACAGGATAAGTTTGCATATATACAAGTTCCGTCGGTCTACAGAGCAATATATCACCCGCGCCATCGAAGAACATCCCTTTGTTGTTAAAGCACCCAAAATTTCATTACATTCGACGGAGACATTATGTTTCTATAAAATACGGAAACGTAAATTTATGTTAATTCATAATACAGAAACAAAAAAAATATATCTTCTAATGATTTTTCTATTTTCTTCTTCTAAGGTTAAATACAAACGCATCATATACATCCGACAAAAAACTTAGAAATGCCTTCAATATTTATGTCAGCTATTAAAAAAAACGCAATTTCTGATCCTGTTAACCAATAAACGCCAAAATTCCCCCCGCTTCCCTAAGCGCGCACACAATATATTCAAAACAAATTATTTAACGTTATCGCGTTCATCATTTGCAAACATTTGCATTATCAATCCATTATCGATCTACGTTTAATTGCTAGATTATCTCTACAGTATTCAAAGTCCGCTTTCAGAGCTCTCCGACGACACACAGTTTAGTTGTCGGCTTGGTACGACAATGTCTTTGCAATTGGTTACAAACACATAAAGACACAAATAAAGTTTTTCTTTACGACGAAACAAAAAAGATAAAAAGAAAGAGAAAGTAGACAAGAAACAGATAGCCAAGGCAAAACAAGCAGGTATGCGTAACAAAAAGAATTATATTAAAGGTTTAGCACAGAAAGGTGACGAGGGATGTGCGATCGCAAGTCCGATTTTAATATTATTTGTGTCTATTTGTGTTTGTAACCAATTGGAATTCATCAAGGACCGTCAGTCTACCGAGCAATTCACCCGCTCGGTGGAAGATCTTCCCTTTGTCGTATACCTACACAGAGTGGGTACAATTTCCTGAGTATTACAAGGTATTCCTGAGTATTAGTTAGCTTGGCCAACATACTGTTGCGCCGGTAAACGTAACGCCATCTATCGCCGAATAGCCGAAACGAATATTAAAGGAACTGGTAACGCCGAGAAAGATCGAGAAGTACAGCGTCATCTATTGTCAGATAGCGGAAACAAACATCGAAAATACTCGACTTTTGTGGAATATTCTCGATAATTCTAGAGATGTCGTATCGACTATAAAAGTGTTGCAGAGATGGCACGAGTCAGTTAGTAATCGGAACCACTCGAAGCGAAGCAGCGAATGGATCACTTGAAGCGAAGCGGAAGAAGTGAATTATGAATTTTAAAGTGTTTATGAACTGTTTTAAGCGTTCTAAATCTTAATACATTTTCAACTTGTGATTCGGTAAAATTTTATTTATCCCGAACTCCAGTGCGTAACAATACTTCTATAAAGTATAAACTAGTATTTCCTTCGGTTTTCAACGGGTCGTATCATACCACGAACACACACACTTACCCCTGTTTTGTTTAATTGTGTTCCATTGCGGGCCCTCCCAAAAACATTAGGAACGTGATTTTTTTATGCTGTATTATTAGAAATTACCAACTCTTGTCTTCGGTGTTCTTGAACGACTCCAAGAGACGTTTTATTCTAAAGTCGCTAAATACTTGGAATACCTACATCCTACAAAGTTTAAGCAGAAATACACACACACAAACAATACTCACAGTCATTGACCCTATAACACAGATTGCATTTCCATCGCTTCGCATCGACGAAGTAGACAAACGGATTGATGTACGTCCGACAAGCCCGACAGCGGACTATCGTAGCGCACTGGATCACTGGTAGATGCTGGAAGGAATATATTAATGTTAAACACATTTTGTGTACCCGTTATTGCCCACACCCCCTGCCCACCTGGTGTAAAGTGGTTACAGGAGCCCATAGACATCCACAACGTAAATGCTGCCACCCACCTTAATAACATATATGAATTCTAAGGTCTCCGTTTTTACCGTACAACGGCTGCTCCCCTTCAAACCGAAACTTATTACTGCTTCACGGCAGAAATAGGCAGGGTGGTGGTACCTACCCGCGCGGACTCTCAAGAGGTCCTACCACCAGTGATTACGCAAATTATAGTTTTGCAGGTTTCATTTTTATTACACGATGTTATTCCTTCACCGTGGAAGTCAATCGAGAACATTTGTTAAGTACGTATTTAATTAGNGCCCACACCCCCTGCCCACCTGGTGTAAAGTGGTTACAGGAGCCCATAGACATCCACAACGTAAATGCTGCCACCCACCTTAATAACATATATGAATTCTAAGGTCTCCGTTTTTACCGTACAACGGCTTCTCCCCCTTCAAACCGAAACTTATTACTGCTTCACGGCAGAAATAGGCAGGGTGGTGGTACCTACCCGCGCGGACTCTCAAGAGGTCCTACCACCAGTGATTACGCAAATTATAGTTTTGCAGGTTTCATTTTTATTACACGATGTTATTCCTTCACCGTGGAAGTCAATCGAGAACATTTGTTAAGTACGTATTTAATTAGAAAAATTGGTACCCGCCTACGGGATTCGAACACAGTTGCATCGCTCAACACGAATGCACCGGACGTCTTATCCTTTAGGCCACGACGACTTCATGAACGTTCGACGTCTGAACAAATGATATAATTATAGTTGATGTTTACTTACATTGAGATCCTTGAATGGATGTATGAGTATGCCCAACGGTAGTCTTGACTTCTGGAGTAGGCTGTTCGTTTCTGGTATCTTATTCAGCGTGCATCTGAATATTCTGTGAAAGATATTAACAATGACATTTAGTTATTTAGTTTATTTCAACCTGTATGTATGTGTATATTCAAAGGAATTTTCAGCGACTTGACGACTTAATCAATTCGAAATTTAAAATACCGTTACGCCGGTAAAAATAAACGCCATCTATCGCCGAATAGTCGAACGAATATCGAAGGATCTAGTAGCACCTAGAACGCTCGAGAAGTACAACGCCATCTATTGTCAGATAGCGGAAACGCAATACTCGAAATGTGTGGAATATTCTCGACGATTCTAGGGATTTNATTTTTATTACACGATGTTATTCCTTCACCGTGGAAGTCAATCGAGAACATTTGTTAAGTACGTATTTAATTAGAAAAATTGGTACCCGCCTACGGGATTCGAACACAGTTGCATCGCTCAACACGAATGCACCGGACGTCTTATCCTTTAGGCCACGACGACTTCATGAACGTTCGACGTCTGAACAAATGATATAATTATAGTTGATGTTTACTTACATTGAGATCCTTGAATGGATGTATGAGTATGCCCAACGGTAGTCTTGACTTCTGGAGTAGGCTGTTCGTTTCTGGTATCTTATTCAGCGTGCATCTGAATATTCTGTGAAAGATATTAACAATGACATTTAGTTATTTAGTTTATTTCAACCTGTATGTATGTGTATATTCAAAGGAATTTTCAGCGACTTGACGACTTAATCAATTCGAAATTTAAAATACCGTTACGCCGGTAAAAATAAACGCCATCTATCGCCGAATAGTCGAACGAATATCGAAGGATCTAGTAGCACCTAGAACGCTCGAGAAGTACAACGCCATCTATTGTCAGATAGCGGAAACGCAATACTCGAAATGTGTGGAATATTCTCGACGATTCTAGGGATTTCGTGTCAACTATAAAAGCGTTGCAGAGATGGCATGAAGCTAGTTAGTTAGTAATCGGAACTACTCGAAGCGAAACAGCGAACGGATCACCTGAAGCGAAGCGGAAGAAGTGAATTGAGAATTTTAAAGTGTTTGTGAAGTGTTCTAAGTATTGAATACAGTTTTTAAGTTTTACTTCGGTGGAATTTTATTTATCCCGAACCCCAGCGCGGAACAATACGTTAGCCTAATATTTGAACCGGGATCTCGAATATAAAAATATATCTATGAATGTTTAGTTCGACAATTTCTATTCAAGCATGTTGTTGTAGTTTTAAAACTATATTTAATCATTTTTCCATTTTGTCACTTTGTTTACTTTGGTAAATGAACGTTATATTAACGATTGAGACCTCAAGCCTCATTGTGGTCAGAGGTAGTCACATTTCTATTAAACGTGAATATCGTCCTCTAAAAAAGATATTCTAAATTATTACTTATATTTAATTAATTTTATTATTTTTTTAGCCATAATTATTTGACTTTCCGCCTTTAAATTTCACAAAAAAATATCCTTAAGACCTAATAATGCGTGGAGCATTAAAAACCAAATTTGTTTGAAGAAAATATTAGGTTGGTTTGAGATATTGGACATATTCGGTTACAGGGTACGTAGTCTGGTATCGAAGTTCATTCCCTTGATAAAACTGAAGTGAATACGGTCGACATTCGCGTGTCTTTCTTTTATCGAGCAAAAAATAAACCGGCATAAATCAAAGCACTTAACGTCCATGCTATTTGTTACTCATATAACTTATTCTTTATTACGTAGATGGGTGAACAAGCTTACGGCCGTCCTGTGACTACCGGAGCTTTTTTTTTCCTATCTAAGCTTGAGAGGCTATTTCAGCGTAACCTTAACTAGTAGGTGAGCTCACGGGGCTCAAACCTGACGACGTTGCTTACGCGAACCCTGAGCCGTGCTTTGCAAAATCTACCACCGGTTCGGAAACGCGACCCATTGAGAAGATCCGGCAAGAAACTCAGTGAGCTGTGTCTGTGGGTTAATTTACTCGTCGAGCCCTCCATCGCAAGCGACGGATTCGACGATAACGATGACCGGTGCTTGAGGTACCTAAAAAGCATCGTTAGTGGATCGGAAGGATCCGAAATGACATGTTTTGGGCGACGTCGACTGCTTTCCATTCTGTCCGCAGGATCGGGAATGTAGTTACCGGCGGCCACGATGAGAGGGTTCTCGTGTCGCTAACGGAGCGCGTGGGCATTATAACGTGAATACAGACACCGCGGCATTAACTCTGTAAATGTATATAGGCGCCGCGGATACCTTAGACAGCGAAGATAACCAATGTCAACAAATTAAGACAACTGCAGATCAAGACAAGACTGTCCACACTCTGCCTTCGCGCCACTCGAGTACTTCGGTCGCATTGCTCGGAAAACCCTAATAGATTAGAGAGAGGGGGAAGTTCGAGGAAAAGAGACCATGCGGGCGCAGTCCGACAAGGTGGTTCAATCAGATTCACACCACACTAGAAACGCCATTATTAAACGAAGCCCTTAACGTGGCCAATGATCGGAAAGGCTGGAAAGACATGACAAAAAATAAAACACTGTTGAAACATGATGGTCACGACCGTCAGCAGTGAGGAAACGACGCGGGGAGGAGATAGGTTCCGCTAACCAGCTAACACTAGGTGTGGGCATATCAACCCATCTAAGGAACAAAACTATAGCCGCTACACAATAAACATTCGGATTTATGTGGTGTCTAAACGAGATGCTTTTAAATTGGCAATGCATCGAAAACAAAGGGACGTTTCTTGTATTACGAACGATTGTATACAAAAGGGGGTCAACAGTGTTTATATTAGAATACGTAGCTTATCACCGATCGTCAATTGTAGAAACACAAAAGCAAACTTGTGACCGCGATCGAATGCGCGGAAACATTAGCATCTGTCATGCGAGTAATGTATCTAGTGTTCTCACATGCATCGGCCAATCTTACTTTAAGATTTAAAAATATTTCTTTTATTTGTCAAACCCAATTCTTCTCGGCTTTCTTAGGCCGATTTAGCTTTGATCCTATCGTTACTAAACAGAATCGCCCGTTAGGCTGAACTGAAGATTTCCTAAAAAAATAATCGTAATCGTCCAGTTCTTTCGGCGTATAGATGGAAGATAATTATACACACATGGATATTTTTATATATCGCTCTTTAGAATTGAAGTAGTTTGAAAAATGTTAAGAAAATGAGTTTTATGCTTTGAACGTCTTATAAACATGTAAAAACGAAATTTAAATTTTAGTAAAAAAAAAAACCAAATACTCTTTCAGTCTTTTTTAAATCAAGCGCATATCTTAAACTTTTAGCATACCCTAAGCTTTAAGCTTTGAAGCTTAAAGTATTAGAATCAAAACTGAAAAATTACAATTCTTTAAAAATATTTTTTTTAGCATTTACCAAAAAACAAGAACTTGGGATTAAGACACGTCAATCAATTCTAAAGGTGCGAATTATATTTTAAAATTGATTCAAGTGCCTTAAAAATGGAACCCGTAACATACCTGGATTTGTGTAATTATACTAGATAGGACAGCCTTTTACATAAAATACTTTTTTTTATTGCTTAAATGGGTGGACGAGCTCACAGCCCACCTGGTGTTAAGTGGTTACTGGAGACCATAGACAACGTAAATGCGCCACCCACCTTGAGATATAAGTACTACAGTACAGTTACAACGGATGCCCCACCCTTCAAACCGAAACGCATTACTGCTTCACGACAGAAACAGGCAGGACTGTGGTGCGGACTCCAAGAAGTCCTACCACCAGTAATTACGTAAATTGTAATTTTGCCAGTTTGATTTTATTACACGATGTTATTCCTTCACCGTGGAAGTCAATTGTCAACATGTGGTAAGTACGTATTTCATTAGAAAAATTGGTACCCGCCTGCGGGATTCGAACACCGTTGCATCGAAAGATAGGAATGCACCGGACGCCTTATCCTTTAGGCCACGACGACTTCATACTTACATTCAAGACTTCAAACTCATGCCTCAAGGCACGGCAACGAACAAGGATAACAGACATGCACTTTAAGACCCATAAGGATCCCGGTAACTAGCTGACGAACCATGAACTTATCCAGTTCCGTCTAGTGCATTAAAATAAAATAAAACCGAAATTTACGTCAACAGAAGCTTATCTCAACACATCAGTGAAAATTCCTTACTACAATGGACGAATCAATTACACTCAATTTGGTGTGCTATTGTGAAATACGACGAACACAAAAGCACAAACAGACATCGTCTGATCACAATTTTATTGATTGTATTATTTTATCTTAACAGAAAAAATCAAGTTTCATAATGATAATTCAAAGCGGCATTTTTTTTATTTGCGTTATTACTGGTGGGTGTCACAACTCTGCTGACTTCTGCCGCGATACATTCAGGACTTCCAGCTTAAAGGGTGGGGACAGTTGAATTGAAACATAGACTTGACATCTCCAAGGTGGGTCACTCCGGTAACCACTTAACCAGAGGTGAGCTATGAGATAGGTGAGTTATCTATAGATTTGATTAAACCGATAACACGTCCTATACATTCTTTTAAATATTTGTTATCTGCTTATTTTATTACAATTCATTTAGAAATAACAAAAGTACTAAGTAATCGTATTTATGTTGTATTATTTAACGTTTATACGGTTTTAAGCGGTTGATCATATTTTTAGATAGCAGTGAATTTATTTATTGTATATACATAATTGCACTTCTTATGTAAAATACTTATATTATTTAAACGTTCACGCTTTTTACCTACAATAATTTAATTGCTCATTCCATTGTAGATAACTTAGATTGCTACTCGTTGAAAATGGTAGTTGGTTTTCGTTTTTAATAAATGAGTCGACTATTATCAAAGGCGGCAATCTGACTTTTGGACAATGATTGGTAAATCAGAAAAACGAATTATTGACTTTGTATTCCATTGGCAGTCACAAAACTCTTCGGAACGACATCTTAGATAAATAACAGGTTAACTATTAACCTTTATTTAATGCAGGTTTTGAACCGTATTCTTTGAAGGAGACGATNTCTAAGCAATAAAAAAAAAAAAAAATTTTTTTTACCCTAACAGAAAAAATCAAGTTTCATAATGAATATTCGAGTAGTAAAATTCCAAATGGCATTTTTTTATTTACTTTACTAGTTGACCCGGCAGACTTCGTAGTGCCTCAATCGATAAACAAAAGACCTAAGCTTTTGTATAAAATAAACTTAAAACAAACAAAAGGGGGACACATCAAAGGAAAAACAAAATTGTTATTTTTATTAAATTCCGAGCATTTTCATTTTTTTCTACCTTTTAAACCTTCTCTGGACTAACACAAATAATCAAAGACCAAAAACAGCCAAATCGGTCCAGGCGTTCTCCAGTTTTAGCGAGACTAACGAACAGCAATTCATTTATATATATATAGATAGATAGAAGATAGATTACTGGTTGATGTCACAACACTGCTGACTTTTGCCGCGATACATTCAGGACTTCCAGTTTAAAGGGTGGGGACAGTTGAATTGAAACTTAAACTTGACATCTCCAAGGTGGGTCACTCCGGTAACCACTTAACCTAGCTAGCATGAGCTATGAGATAGAGCTATGAGATAGGTGAGCTATCTATAGATTTGATTAAACCGATAACACGACCTATACATTCTTTTAAATATTTGTTATCTGCTTATTTTATTACAATTCATTTAGAAATAACAAAAGTACTAGGTAATCGTATTTATGTTGTATCATTTCACGTTTATACGGTTTTAAGCGGTTGATCATATTTTTAGATAGCAGTGAATTTATTTATTGTGTATACATAATTGCACTTCTTATGTAAAATACCTATATTATTTAAACGTTCACGCTTTTTACCTACACATATTTAATTGTTCATTTAATTGTAGATGTAAATTAGATTGCTACTCGTTGAAAACGGTAGTTGGTTTTCGTTTTTGGTAAATACAAAGGCCGTTTGCTTGGCCGGTACCTATCTATGTAACGGAATTTTATCATAGCAAAATTTCACGAATCATGGGAGTTGAATTTTTGCTTTCGCATCCACGATCGATGACAATACAGTAATTGTATTTTTTTGACGAAACAACCGGACTAAGATGGCAGAAAAAAAGTGAAAAAAAAAAGTATGGAATTTTAAAATAGAAATATTCAGAGAATTTAAATTTAGATAAGCAGAACAATGCGTCCATTTTAATTTTTAAACTGGCTAATTTGGCTAATAAACGTGTATTTTAATTCGAATGGAATCAGAACTAAGTTTATATAGAAGAAGTCTGCAAGTAACAACAGTGACAGAAAATAAAGAGTTTAAAGTTATCATGATGTTGGCCTCCAAAGAAATAAATTAGTGTGCGTTTTATGCTATAATCATCATACACCAAAGTTTTTATAAATTACATTGAATACACAAACCATCACCGGGGCGCATCGATACTGTTGTCGCGTGAGGAAGCGCATCATAAAGCTGAACACCTAACGTCTCAGTACGCGTCTATTGAAAAATTACGGATAATCATAAAGCACTTCTAGATTTTCACAATACAATAAATCTTGCCTTAACACGTTCTCTGGTATATCAAGATTGTTAAAATTGTACTTCCGATAGCTAACGATAAAAAACTTATTGAGATAATAACAGTAAGTAATACAAAAATGTATATGTCGTGATAATTTTTGGAAAACAAAACTCATTAGATATTCATGAATCAGCATTATCAATTATTATTTTTTATTGCCTTTGTAGGCAGACGAGCGTACGGCCCACCTGATGGTAAGTGGTTACCGTCGCCCATGGACTTCAGCAATGCCAGGAGCAGAGCCAAGCCGCTGCCTACCGCTTAATACTCTCCACAAGCCTCGTTTGAAGAAGGACATGTCATAGCGCTCAGGAAACACTGTGGAGGAGAGCTCATTCCATAGCCATATTAAGTTTTAAGACCAAATTGGCCACATAGCATGCTTAAAATCACAGTGCAAACATTTATTTTTGGGGAAAATCATCAACTTATGCTGATACACCTAAGAATCACTACCCATCGAAAAACTTACAAATACATTAACACACATAGAAGGACTAGACAAAACATTCACATCTTAATTATCATTTGATCACTAAAAAGGTATCAGTCACAAAATGGACACTAAATCCACCTACAATGTAAGGGACCTAGCTATTACAGAGGTAGTATTGTGACAGACTCATTTTTCCTATTAGGGATCAGATTTAAGAGCCCATATATTTGAAACATTTCGAGATAAAACTTCTCAAAATACTAATTGGGTAATTATATACGCATTAACAATGTTCATTGCAGACTCTGTTCTTAGTTTATCAGAATTTTTTTTTGAAAAGTACTGCTTACAACTCTTGTCATCTCCTTATATCACCACTTCTATCACACAATTAGCCTTCCAGTGGTAAGTCACATGATGAGCTTCAGAAGTGGCTTAGCACCATAGAAGCAATAATGAGACCATAAGAATTAATACTCTACTATTTATGGCAATCTACCAATGAACCATATGATTCCTGCCATCATCACTTTTAATAAAATTCCTTTTAATTTATATTCTAATAATATAAAAAAATGTTTCTCTTCAATTGTATTTATATATCACTACGACCACTATGACAATGTACTCGTAGGTGTAGTAAATGCAAATATATCCACACCTACTCAAACAATGTGCAGGTGTTGTAGAAAACTTCATTAATTATTAGAATTGATAATGTATTATTTTTACTGAGATTTTAAAATTGTATTTTATTTTTTAACTTAAACCTATCTATTTATAATACAATACCAATACTTACTCAGGACTACAATTGGGTGAATCAGCAAACTGGTGTCCGAGCTTAATTTCCGGAGGATCCTCTGGGTATTCAGGCAATATATGTCTAGTTTGCAGCAAGTCAACCATGTGATGACCCCAAAGTTGGTCAAAACCTTGCTTGGTTACACTCAACTGTCCCATTTGCTGTGTCAAACCTTGAGCATTGTACTGCTGTGGATATTTCATAGATTGTTGCGGAGCAGACTGTTGATTGTAACTGGCCTGTGGCATCTGAGGATATCTGCTCTGCATATTACTTTTCAATGGCCCACCAGTTGGTCCACTTGGAGGCCCCGCTTGTTGATTTACTGGTATATTTTGATTCATGGGCGGTGTTAGTGCTGTGGGTACATTTGAACCAATATTGGAGTTAAGTCCTGGCTGACTTACAGGTTGATTTAAATAAGGTTGACCAGGTGGAGAGCTTACAGATGGCATCATTGGTAGAGGATTTGCAGAACTGAACTGCTTGGGAGGTCCAGAGACTGGTGGTAAAGGACCATTTAGGCCCACTGGCCTTGCTTCTACTGCTGAATTTGGCGGTAAGGCATTTAAGCGTGGTCCATTTACTGAGAAACCCATATGAGGGCCACTTATTGGAGGGTTAGTGACAGGACCCGATATAGGACTTGCATAAGGTGGATTCAGAGGCCCAGGAACTGAAGGCCCAACATTTCTACTGACAGGAGGCACTGAGGTACCTATATTTGTTGGACCAGCCAGAGGTGGGCCTGGAAACTGAGTACTATGTTGTATGGGCAGTGACTGTGGTCCTGAAGGCTTTGTATTTGGAGCTGGACCATATTGATTGATTGAACTGGGGCCATATCCTCCTACTGGAGGCCTATTTAATGGAGGCACAGGACTGTAGCTACTAGATGTTGGGTTTGGCATGGATGCAGCCAAAGGAGGCCCATTCACAAGGGGTTGATTATGTTGACTAGGGGGTACTAGTGGTGGTACATTATCGTTGATTTGTTTCTGAGGTTGATAGTTAGGGGTATAAGGGTTTGGATTGGAAACAAAAACAGGACTAGGCGATGATATCTGATTTAGAGGTTGAGAGCTTTGTGGAAAAGGTCTCATTGGCGAACCTTGCATTCCACCTTGCACCAATCCAGGCTGATTGAAAGCTGGTGAGCTACTGGCACTTTGATTGAAGTTGTTTATGTTTTGTATAGCATTATTTTGAGGTGATATTGTTCCATGAAGAGGACTATTTGAATTGTTGTCCTTCAGTCCTCCATATCCTGGGGGCAGCTGACCCAATGGTACTTGAGCGTATTGATTATGGTTAAAGGCTTGCACAGGGTTTGCATTCGCTCCAGGCTGGCTTACAAACGGATTAGGTGGCAAATTAGACATGATTTGTCGATCTGCAAAAACACAATGTTCTTTGTCATTTTAAACAATTAACAATGAAATCACTATCTCAAACACACTACTAGATGTTTATATAGCGATAAAAATGCTGATATCAATTAGGAAATTATTAAAACATGCTAATTCACCAATAGGATGACGGATTAGCTAAGGAATTGACTGGCATCTTACCTACAATACGGTGACTTTAACACAAAACACTAGTAATATACTTCTGTTATATATTACAGCATTCTCACATATTAACCTTTATTGTGAATTAACGTAATTAATATATTTTAAGACGAAAAATACGACCCTGACTTACGTGGCCGAGCAAATTAAAGCGCCCTCTGGATTGATTTTTGACAAGAAAGACAATGTCATAAACTCATTACTGTCAACTAGTGCTGCGTCAAAATTTAATGTCACGTACGAATCGACTATAATCGAATTAGTCGATCTTCTGTTTCATTGAATCCTGAAGCCAAATAAGTCGATTTATGCAATATTTTATTATCTGCTATCATTGTGACGATACGACAGACGATATGAGATGATTTCTAAAACTCAGTATGCCTTGAGAATTATTTTTAGATGGTTGGATTACCCAGAAGCCCAGATGGTCTTTAATTTTTCATAAGTATTTTATTTTGTATTCGACCTAGGGTTACTGTTTCTTAATCATGAGATGCATATGACACCTTTTTTAATATTGCCCTTATTGGCAGACGAGCATACGGCCCACCTGATGGTGAGTGGTCGTCCATGGACGTCAGCAATGCCATGGGCTAAGCCAAGCCGCTGCCTATAATTTTTGATACGTGATTATTGGAAAACTTGTTAACCGAGAAGCTATCTAGTCACGGCGATGATGTGAATCTAGCGTCCCATGGCGTAATGTGACATAGAAGCATGGCCTTCGTCAACTTCCTGACTATTCAGAGAAAAGAATTATTGTCTGCCAACTCCAAGGCATATATTGGACCTGTTATTTGCCTAATCCATAAAATTAGCGCAGTATTTTTCAAGACAGATAAAGTAATGTTATATTTCAGCATTTTATTGCCAATCGTTACCTTATTTACAATACATAGGCGGCACTGAAAATTTCGGGAATTAACGAAGTGACATAACGTTACTATTTAAAAATGTATTTATTGCTTTTCGAAGTATTCTCCGCGAAATTTGACACATGTTTCCATACGATGGAACCAATCATTGAAGCAACCATTCCATTCGGAAATTTGAGGATCCTGCGTGGAATCTTTCGAGAGTTCTGACGCACCAAGTAACGCGAGCCGCTTTTTGCTCTTCACAGAGCGAATGCGGTATCCATCGGGAAAACAACTTTTTTACACCTAATTGTTCATGCAAGATTATTTATTTTGTATTTGACTCATGCCAATGTCTAAAGTTGCCTGAATTTCGCGGTATGTCACATGTCGATCTTCCTCAATCAGCTTACGCACAGCATCAACGTTTTCTTGGGTGACTGCAGTTTTTGGACGACCTTGACGGGATATCATCACTGAGCTTAACACGTCCACGTTGAAACTCAGCAAACCAGCGATAAATTGTGGTTTTGGATGGGGCTTCATCACCAAATGCAGAAATCATCCGGTCAACACACTGTTTTTGTGTTAAACCACTTCGAAAGTCATAATAAATCATCGCTCTTGAATTTTTTCGAGTCAATTCCATTTTCTCAACGACTAAACAAGTTTGACAAAACCTCGTAACAAGACCGAGAATCTTTTTTTAAATAAATAAATGGTATTCGATTTTGAAAACCAAGGAGTTTTCAATTAAAAAGATTTTAATATGACAGGAACAGTGGAAATATTCCATTCCCGATACTTTTAGTGCAGCCCTCGTACCTTATTTACAAAACCTCGATTACCACAGCCGGGATTCACTAGTCCAAATAAATGAAAAACAAATAAAAATTCAAACATCTGTATTTCAAATGACATTTCAAATCAATGATTTAGTCGTAAAACAAAATTTCAACAAACATCTGCGTATGTAATTTTTTTAAATTGATTGGATTAAAGCCACTCACTCAGATACGAATTACAAAACATAAATATAATTTTTATTATAATTTGTGTAATATAAAATTTATAATGTAAACAATAACGGCCAACTGATTTGTACATTTTCATTCCTCGTCCAATCAACGAACTACGCAGGATTACAGTCTAGCAAGTCTACACTTAACAATATCAACACCACATTCTTTCAGCAATATAAAAGTATTCAAACTGATCACAATGTTATGGCAGCTCCATGGAACCCCATGCAACACTTAAAGTAGGTACTCACAGAGGACGACTTGCCAACACATAATTATCATCATATATTCGTTCGAGATATTTTAATTAGTAGATCTATTAAAAATTGCAATCTTTTACAAAGATTTTCATTAAACTCTTTGAGTAATTTAAGAATTGTGTAATGTTTCGGCCTCTCGGTTAATTAAGTAGCAAGTAGCCTACTGTAGTAGCGTAGCATATATGACGTTTCATACAATCTATTCACAAGCATCCGTTCTGTTCGTCGGACAATACTAAGAGAATTTTATTCTTATTTTACATATCCAAAATATTATAATTATGTAATGATCGAAATAAACGCGAGAATATTTACACTTGCACCTTATAAAAATGTCACATATCGCCCGCACTTCAACTACCTTTCTCATTTCATAGATCGATTCGAAATTTAAAGATTGAGATGCGTTTTTTTTTTTAATAATCAGTAAAAATGCATAAAAACAATCACATAAACAGACTAGGATCCGAAAACGCCGTCGAAAATTACATAATTTCTATTTATTGCAAGGAATAGGCCACGAAAGGAAGGCGACCGCACACGAGTACGAGCTCGACTTCAAAATGAGGATTTTAAAAATCCAAAAATATCATCCACGCCTGGTGCGGAGCCCGGGACGCCCGCGGCACGCTACACGTCGTAAAAACTACTCAGTCGTTTTCATTATCAATAAAAATACACGTTTAATGGCTCAAATGAAACCGTATCGGGTCGTTCGGCGGGCTCGGCGGCGGCTAGTGCACCGGCGGCTGCAGGCGGCGCCGCAGCAGCTCCGACTCGGCCGGCGGGGACAGCCCCAGCGGCGCGAACTCGTCCGCCTCCAGCAGCGACGCCGCCCCGCCCGCCGCGCCCCCGCAGCACGACTTGCTGCACCGCACCGCCGCCGGACGCTCCATGTACGAGTAGTTCATCGAGAAGTGCTGCTGGATCACGCGGTTGACCGCCATCGCAGACTCCGCGAACTCCGACAGGTTGCGAGCGGATAAGTTCCTGCAAATAATGTTTAGCTGTAGTAAAACACTAAGTTAAATCGTATGCAAAACAACAACAGTCAATAACACGTAAGGCTATCTGAAAGAGAACCTCACAGGAATTGTTTAAGATGCTCCAGTCATCTCAAGTTTTTATCCTTTACAGGAGCAGGGCTCATCCGGACTAGCTAAAGCCACTGCATTCATCGAGAGTGCACATCGACAGTTTACAGACAGGCTTTGAAATTAACATCCCTCTATACAATATTCTAGAGCGCTGGGATTTAGCGAATTAGCTGTTTTCCTAACATTACTGACATCCGTGAGCGATGATGATTATTCATCATCATATGAGCTGTATACTACAACTATACTGTCCTACAAAGGCAAAAAACGTATTATAAAATCTTACCGTTTAATATTATGAGGGGTCTGCAGCTTAGGGTGCTGGGCGTGCGGGTCGGCGCGACGAAGCCAGTGGTGCTGGAGCACGCGTTCCGCGCTCAGTCGGTGGGAGGCTTCGCGCACCAACAGTTGCCGAATCAAATCTTTCGCTTCAGAAGAAATGTGTGACCATTCTTCTTCGGGGAACGAATAACGACCCTCCTGTTACGAAAATAAGTTATTTACAACATGTCTATAGATTTATTTGTATTTATTTATGATTTTTTTTATTGTTTAAATGGGTGGACGAGCTCACAGCCCACCTAGTGTTAACTGGTTACTGGAGCCCATAGACATCTACAACGTAAATGAGCCACCCACCTTGAGATATGTTCTAAGGTCTCAGTATAGTTACAACGGCTGCCCTACCCTTCAAACCGAAATGCATTACTGCTTCACGGCAGAAATAGGCAGGTTGGTGGTACCTACCTGCGCGGACTCACAAGAGGTCCTACCACCAGTAATTACGCAAATTATAATTTTGCTGGTTTGATTTTACTGTATTATTATATTAGTATTATTACCTGTATCGAAGTGAAAAGGAGATCCTGACAGGCGCGGCAGTTCTCTCCGCGCTCCCATCCGCAATCAGCTCCGCAGTCAGCGCGGAACGGCGGATACCCACAGAGTAAAATGTAGGCGATGACGCCCAGCGACCACAAGTCACATCGTTTGTCATAGTGCGTCGCAGCCGAGCCCGCGAACAGGGACACCACTTCGGGTGCCATGAATTCAGCGCTGCCCACCTGTTTTGGCAAAAGAGAATACTATTTCAGAAAGTCAATCCAATGATAGTTCGATAAAAATATGTTTTCAATAGTGCAGATCTTAGTCGATTTTGAGCTTTTCATAGTTCCCTGGGATTAGCGGTTATAATCGACTAACTGTAATTAGCTTTTATAAATCATCTTCATTTTATCTTCGATCGAATTACAAGACATAATTTACTCAGTATTATAGATAATTCTAATGACTTGAGCCCGGATATTGCATATTTGAGTTCAAATCAGTTACAAAAGTTACAGTCAATCAAAAAGTTACAAATCAGAGTCACCGTACATTAAATATTCAACAGTAGATACTAGGCTAGCACTCTGTATCAAACTTTCATTTCGTGAGCTATCCTACTGCGGTAGTTCTAACAACTTTGCTACACCTTACAGTATGTATATGCACAGAACTATTAATATAATTGTCCCTTTTCATTTCAAAATGAAACTTATATTAGGCAGGTTTAGGCATATAATTAATATTAGGCTTACTCTATTGCAACAGGGAGACGATGAGAACAAATTGAAACACATTAATGATTATCAATCAATTAGTTAGCTAGAAGGGAAAATTTACAAAGATAATATATTTTAGGTTATAGCTTAGGAGGCAAGGACTTCTGTTGAGTTATAATGTATTCGATCGAATTTATGTAAAATTTCAAATACACGTATCACCTCATTAATGAATGACGTCTTATTTTAGTGTACAGTTAACATAACCTTGCTCTTCTTAAAACGGGCATTTTATCTCTATTGTAATTAACAAATAGAAATAAAAATCAACGTGTTAATTTTTTATCACACAACCGTGACTTATTTCTGAGCCCTTCTGTGGCGTCAGCAGTTCTTCGTTAATTACAATAAAATAAAGCATCGTAAAAGATTTATATATATATATATATATATATATATATAAATAAATAATGAATCGTGACTCATTCGAACAACAAACAAAACATGGGTGTGGAAATAATGATTAATATATTATATATTTAAATAATATGGAGAAAATAAACTAATATAAATTTCAAATGCGTGATTCGAACAAAGGATGTCGAACTGATATACAACGCGATACGAACATGTTCTGTTCACAATATATATTTTGTTACTAATTATAGATTCTATACATGTAACACATGCAGACAGCGAATACTAATAATAACATATATGTACATGTGTACGTAGTTCGCAGTAAACAACGAACCGAGGTTTAAATTATTTATTAAAATATCTATATATTAATACGTGAAGGAAAAACTTTGTATCCCTTTTTACGAAAATTGCGCGGACGAAGGAGTATGAAATTTCCTACACTTATAGAGAATATAGAGAAGAAGTGCACAATGTTAATATTTTTTTTAAATGATGCCTAAAAATACATTGAATCAATAAAAAAAAAAACATTACACACTACCCATATATTTGACGCACACACGCATGCATACTATTTATTTATTGTCAAACTTTTGTTCTTGACGTCTGTGGTTAAAATGAGAATAGATTAAATATTGTTTGTCTTTATTAATATTTTTCTATAGGTTGTGTAGTCTTGGCGAAATTTGTGATTATAGAATAGTCTTTGAAAATAGAATCATAATAGTGTACAAACTTTTAATTTCAATTAATTATAGTCGAATTTCGACTACCGGGCGACCACTAGTTTATATTAAATTAAGATTCTATCATGTCTGTGTTCACGGGATTGTTCATTTTAAACTTTTTAAATTTGATTTTTCAATTTTAAATTGTTTTCTGTTAAAAAATCATTAACATATATATAGTATATCATAGATATATTACACATATTTGGATATAGTTTTTTAAATATTTTTACGCGTGTGGCCTTACGATATTTTAATAAAATCGATGCCAAAAAAACAGAAATGCCTGTAACCCATGACAAACAAAAAGAAAGTAGTCCATTTTATTTAATTGACTTCAATGTGCCTTTTTTTGGGGGGAAATCACAAAACAAATTTAAATAAAAATAAAAAAATACCTGTAAATTTAACAATAGAGATGAAGTGTTTGTGTTTGAAATCTCAAGTTTTTCTCTTACAGTGGAAAATTCGCATTTTTTTTATTGCTTTGTTGGTTGGACGAGCTCACAGCCCACCTGGTGTTAAGTGGTTACTGGAGCCCATAGACATCTACAACGTAAATGCGCCACCCACCTTGAGACATTTGGAGAGTTACAATATTTCCGTTTTTATGCGCCGATACATTATAGTATCAGTGACTTTTAATATTACAACCGAATTGTATTTATTGAAACTAAACAACTATGAGGTACGAAGTTACTTATATTCTGTCAATTTAAGAAAGTGAACCTAAAATGATTTTCCTTCGACTGATCAAATTCATTATGTACGTGATCACACAATATTATAACGTTTTACAATGACACGGTAAAATAATACAATCACATAAACCATGAAGATAGGGCACAATCTTTATTATTAAAACGACTATACTACTTCGGTTTTATTAAAAATACTCCTTCATAATATTTTTTTATTATGATCACTAAATGCTTTTTTATTTGTATAAGACACTTTCGAATTGAACATTACAGTTTCATTTTAGATTTTCACATATTAAAGGTGAAAATCGTTGTGATCGAGTTAACCGTGAAACAATAGTTTGTGTAATACATGATATTAGCCAAAATACATCGCGGCGTAGCTATGAGAACATCAATACCTTTAGATATTTGGCGAAAAAGAGTATTTATATTCACAAAACAAAATCTCGTCAGACAGTTCAGGTAACTTTGCTGATGCTCTAGAATGTACTAAAGATGACTAATAACTTTATTGAGGCATAAATTGCGCTATTGATCTCTTAGTGTTAAGGGTATTAAATTAAAAGGGTGACAAAGAGACCTAATAATAAATTATGCACATTATTTTTTCAGCTACAAGATTTAAACTCACTCTTGACTTTGATATCAAATTTGCAGTATTTAATGGCGTTACGTCTAAGCATATAGCGTAAGCGTCTTTAAAAAGGGACATGCTTTTGTATATTTATAATATTCTTTATTTTCTCCACCTTATCCCACTAGGTGGGGTCGGCACAGCTAATTTTTCTCTTCCATTCTCTTCTATCAGCCGTCATTTCAACTCCTCTCACTCTCATATCATCATTCACACACTCCATCCATGTCTTCTTCGGTCGACCTCTTCCCCCTCTACCTTGCACTACCATTTTTGTATATTTATATATATATTTTTTAATTTGATAGATCTACGATGACAGATTTCGAATTACGCTATGTAATTAATGAATTAATTACATATCGACGCTTGAAAGGCAAACGTGACTAAGCGACAACAACTGCTTTGTACATAAATGATAGGCAATAACCATATTCGAAGCGAAAAAAATAATATTTCTAAGTCTATTAAAACCATTTCAATCCTACAGCTAGATTCGTCAAAATTGAATTTTTTTCAGGTATTTCAATTTAAATTAGTCTACTGTAAAGTTCACGCATTGTCGCTTAGTCACGTTTGCCTTTCAAGCGTCGATATTTTAGATGTATCTATTTGTTAGAATGTCGAGTGAATACTGACCGGCGTCATCAGCTGCGGCGTGGCCAGCGGGCTCGCTACGCTCGACGTGAAGCTGATGCCGCTACCCAGATCAAAGTCGCAGATCTTGACCGGGCACAGCCTGTCGCGGTACACGCACAGAATGTTCTCGGGCTTCAAGTCCCTGTGAGCGACTCCCTTCCCGTGGAGGAAGTGCAGGGCGTTCGCCAGCTCGCGTACTATCTCCGCCGCTTGCGGCTCAGAAAAGTAATGGTGCTCCTGTATACGAGAGAGGAGCTGACCGCCATTGATCTGTAACAAACAATAAAAACAAGCTTGACTCGTGTGTTAAGACGCCACGTGAATCTTGAACACGCAATTATGCCGCAGTACACATGTAGGGGTGGAAGAATCATCATCACGTCCTTACGGATCCATCAGATCCAATAACTTTTGCATTAGACGCCGTCAGCTCTAACACTAGGAGCAGGCTTAGGGACCCCGGTAACCGTACTCGTAGAACTCGACAAAGAGGTCGACGTGCAACCTAACCCATGCATCAGCCCGCTGAGTTTCTCGCCGGATCTTCTCAGCGGGTCGCGATTTTGATCCGGTAGTAGATTCATTCGCGTAGCAATTGCTCTTGAGTTGTTAGGTCTCCTTCGGAGGCACTCGAGCAGCTGTTAGCAAATCCCACCCCTCCTGGCCGAGCCCTTGCTCGCCCACCTGTCCTGGTGAAACTGGAAAGGCCTTCGGGCCACCAGTAATCATTCAATTATAAAAAAAGAATCATCATTTTTTTAGTCATGTCCCTAAAATGTGTCCACGTACAACTTCCACGATAAAAAAAAAGCGACATCTTGTAATTAAGACATTTCCGTAATTACATTACGACAAAAAACACGTGCACACTTTAAGCTCATATAAGTCGGTAACTTCAATAGTACGTATTGTCTATTTCTACCACACGGAATTGGTGTAGTTTGATGCGTAAGATGGACGCGTCATTCCAAACGGGATCGAGACTTGGATCTCACATCTCAAGTTGGAGAGCGTCATCACGTTTTGATAGAAACCTACCCATGGAAACCGGAAAACTAAAGAACCGATGAAACGCAAATGCTTCTTCTATCTAAACAAGAAAAAAAAACAATTTATATTTTACGGAAATCGAGGCTTAACGGTCGGGTTGGTACACGAAATGCATTAACAGTTGTTTTTTTTTTACATTCATAGTAGATTTTCCGTGAACGAAGTGATCGGAAGTATCGAAAACTTGTGGAAAATCAAGGTCGGTTTTAATGCGTTCTAGATTACTTAAAATAGAGGGGAAAATGCCTAGGGGTAGAGGTCCCAAACGATGGTCGGACCAAATAGCGGAGGAACTGGGGATGCCTATCAGCGACGCACTCCACCGGGCTGCAGGGCGGGATCGATGGAGACAGTTGGTTGACGAAATCGAACGGAGTCACGATCCTCAGCAGTGAGGAACCGATCGAAGAGAGAGAGAGAGAGAGAGAGAGATTACTTATGATCAACTAGGGGACCGATAGAAGATAGGGAGCCATAAAATTGTGAAAACTTTTGGAGACTTGTCATCCAAAGATGGAGAGAGAGAGCCACTTAGAAATATTAATTGGAGGTTCTACCGCTAATATCGGCCCTTTTATATAACAATACTAACATAAGCTTCAGTCGGTACACTAACATAAATAACAAATGAAATAAAGTAAAACCACTTATCTAATAAAATTTAAACAAACCTAAGGGATAATAAATAAAGTTTATAAATAAATAAAAACTGTTGTTTTACTCTAATAACGGATTTTAAAAAAAACTGCAATTCCAAATAAATTGAAGTCTATTTTCGTTCACATATTATTAAAAGTGTATATAGAGATTTAGCTAAATTTTGACCGACTAAAATCGATATACCTATACGAATTCACATTTCGGTTTCCATTACAATTTATATACTAATTGTTGTTGGACATGATTGATATATTATAAAGTCAGAAGAGTATCGAGATTACGCGCCATATTAATGCCGGATTAATTAAAAGCAATCTTACGCACACAGCAACCGACGGGGCCATCTTTAAAAACAGATCTGTCGAGTCATTCACGTTACTTTACTACCGCCATAGCTTTTATACCGGTCAAACTGAAAAATATACGGCGCACGTCTTGTATCAATTTTATGGAGATAGACGATCCAACTGGATGTAATAAAAAAAAAACATAATCCGTAAACAAACAACGTTATCGCCAGAGTTCACAACACATGATTGTACTTTATTACATTCAATTTGATATGGACCGTATAGTTTGCGAATTAATATATGTATTTATTTATATACCTAAACGTTTTGTTATGTAAACACGCTGCGTCATAGATACGAGAGTTGAACATATTTATGTATCAACAATAATAATACATGTTAACGAATTAAAAAAAACCACACGTACCTACCACCAATAAACTCAATAAGAACGTAGGAATTTAAAAATAGTATTTCAAACAAAGCGCTATCGGCGAAACTAGACTAGATGATTCACACGCGAAATATGTTCGATTTTTCAGTTGATTTTAAACTAACAAATGAAATAATGAGTCACACAGTGAAACATATGACTATATTTCTACTGAAAGTAATAATAAAGGCAGAAAAATGAATTAAAGTTAGGTAGAATTAGTGGCGCGCCTGCGGAAAGAATGGCAAGCAGTCGACGTCGCCCCAAACACGTCATTTCGGATCCTCCCGATCCACTAACGGTGCTTTTAGGTACCTCAAGCACCGGTCATCGTTCTCGTCGAACCCGTCGCTTGCGACGAAGGGCTCGACGAGTAAATTGACTCTCAGACACAGCCCACTGAGTTTCTCGCCGGATCTTCTCAGTGGGTCGCGTTTCCGATCCGGTGGTAGATTCTGCGAAGCACGGCTCTTTCTAGGGTTCGTGTTAGCAACGTCGTCAAGTTTGGGCCCCGTGAGCTCACCTACTAGTTAAGGTTCCGCTGAAATAGCCTCTCAAGGCTCTCAGCTTAGGTAGGAAAAAAAAACCNTAACTCTCAGACACAGCCCACTGAGTTTCTCGCCGGATCTTCTCAGTGGGTCGCGTTTCCGATCCGGTGGTAGATTCTGCGAAGCACGGCTCTTTCTAGGGTTCGTGTTAGCAACGTCGTCAAGTTTGGGCCCCGTGAGCTCACCTACTAGTTAAGGTTCCGCTGAAATAGCCTCTCAAGGCTCTCAGCTTAGGTAGGAAAAAAAAACCTGTTATGTGGCCCAATTTTTTTTAATTTACATTTAAATTAATAGGTTGATTATGTCAGCACACGAAAAGTGTAATTTATTTAAAACGTTATTATTATTCGTTAATTATATCAATAATGTCTCGAGACTTAATTTTATGAAATCGTATTCGTAATGTCAGCTTGATCGATACATCAATTTTAATCGAGCAATATATCGCAATCGATTATATATTAACCGAGCAAGCATTAAGCCAATATGAATTTTTAAAATAACAATTACTGATAAGTTCTAGTACCTACTATTAATATTAAAACATCATAAAATACTGAAACATAGAAAAAAACATATCGTCTTCGCTAAAAAAAACAGTATTAAAAAAATTTAAACTTAATTTTTAAAGAGTCAAAAAAATATGCTAATAGCAAATATCAGTTCAGCTATGACAAGTATTTAATTGATAACCTAAAAGTCTCTAAATGTTAAAGACCTATCAAATGGTCTATCCGGATACTTAAAAACACAATACTGGTATACGCGTGCTGAGTATCATACTAGTACTCTGCGTACGACTAATATTGCTATTTCCCCAAATTCAATCGCTTCTAACCTCAATTTAACGTTCGCCTTAATTTTACAGTCATTAATAAAAGTATTAAAATCTTCGAGAAAGCCAGTGAATCAAGAATAATGAGTATTGCATCAGCATTACGATTCATAACAAACAAATGATGCAATTATTGCAATTTAAGCGAAATACTAGGTGATACAACCAATATCAATAATACCTACTACGATGAAAAATGAAACAAAAAATTTTTCAGCATTTGTCAACACTAGAACCATGATTGTATTGAATAAAACTCATTTCTCACACCTGAACAAACGCATATGATATGAATGAAATAATTTTAATACATTTTAATATAATTTTTGGACGAAAACATTAATTTTACACACATAATTCATTTCGGTAATTCATATTTTAACGTTTACACACACTCAAGAGATACCGTGAAAAATTGAAATAATTAATTTAATATTTTTTGTACATAACCGCTGGTAACCTCAAGAGGCTATTCCAGATACGCTCTAGCGGGCAGGTGAGCTCATGGGCTCAACCTGGGAGTTTGCTAACACTGGCCCTAGCAAGAGCGGTGCTTCGTAAAATCTACCAACCGGATCGGAATCACAACCCACTGAGAAGATCCGGCGAGAAACTCAAGTGTGTTATTTTTGTCAAATCGAACGCATTGATCATTAAAAATTCAAAAGTAGTTCGCTAGTTAAGTTAGTAAAGTTAGTAGTAGTAGTAGCTGAGCTCACGGGGCTCAAACCGGAGTGTTGCTAACACTGGCCCTAGCTAGAGCAGTGCTTCGCAGAATCTACCACCGGATCGGAAACACGACCCACTGAGGAGATCCGGCGAGAAATTCAGTGGGCTGTGTCTGTGAGTGAGGGTTCAATTCTTGATGCGTGTGCAAATCTTCAAGTGCATTGGACGTCAAAAAGTAAACCTAATGAATTATGTAAATGAATGCTGGACGGGACTGACCTTCTCGAAGACAAGATAGAACTTGTCCGTGTCCTCAAAGAATTCGATGAGCTGGATTATGTTCGGGTGTCCCTGGCAGTAGTGGAAGGTCTCCACTTCGCGGAACACCCGGGCGCGGGCGTGCCCCGGTACTTTGTCGATGATCTTCACAGCGAACTCGAGCCCCGTGTAAATGTTAACGCACGTCTGAACCGAGGCGTATGCGCCCTCGCCCAAAACCTCGCCCGTCAACTTGTACAGGTCTGCAGTTAAAATACAACACATCACTCACTTATTGCTTTACGTTTTAACACAAACGAGCTCACGGAGGATAGTGTGCTTAATGCGAATTTTTTAAAGTTCTCGATAGCGTGAAAGTTAACTCAAATTTGTATGGAGTTGGAACGTTTGCCTACGTTTGCCGCTAGGGGCGCTGTTCCAACTGCATACAAATTTGAGTTAACTTTTACGTTTTCGAGAACGTTAAAAAACTCGCACTAAGCACACCGGTCTTAAAAGCAGAGTTGCCATCTACACTATACATATTTTATTGTACTGGTGTTGGTGACCTAGTCGATGCGACTGCCACCACCGACCTTTATTTTTAAGGTCATAGAGTCGACGAAATAACGGCTCTTTACCCTTCACAGAAGAACTACGCAATGGAAATAAACGGAGACTGATAGCGTCGGTATGCGAGCTAGAATTATCCGCCCAATAAAATTAATACTCGTGGTCTAGGAGTGTCAGTTTGTAATAATCTCAAATTTGATACTAGGCATACACATGCCATGCACATGGCATGTTTAAATATGCATGCATAACATACAACTATACCTATGTAGAGTCATAACGCTAAAATGTTACTTATCATGAAGTTCATAATATCGTCTATAGGTTTAGTGGCTAATCCTATCTCTACAGGGCTCTCTACGGGGTCCGCGTTGGATCCCCAATTGGAGCCGGTATCTTTGTTAAAGATTTAGTTTCTGAGATTTCAGAACTCTGCGTTGGTAGAACATAACATATTTTTATTTAACGCATATCAATGCCTCCATTGTTTAAAATACAAAAATCCAGTTCTTTGTCCATTATCCCATATCACAGATAGCAACGTATTAATCTCTAGCCTAGAACTTTTTATAACTAATCTGTTTGCTGATTAAATCGTGTGCGATAAGAGAACTGGGCTCATATTATTTACATCCACTGTTTGTATAAGTGCTGATAATTTTACCTCTCGGCTTTACATTAAGTCACCTCGACTTTGTGTATACAGCTTTAAACGTTGCTATGAAGAGAACTATCCATTAAAAAATGTCTTAAACGTTTTACAGACGGTTCTTGGGTGGACGAGCTCACAGCCCACCTGGTGTTAAGTGGTTACTGGAGCTCATAGACATCTACGACGTAAATGCGCCACACACCTTGAGATATAAGTTCTAAGGTCTCAGTATAGTTACGACGGCTGCCCCACCCTTCACGCGCGGACTCACAAGAGGTCCTACCACCAGTAATTACGCAAATTATAATTTTACTCTGTTGGTCATTCGCTCAGTACTAACCTTGGAAACATGAAGTAACAACGGAGCTTCCAGAACGCTTCTTCCTGCGACGCTTCCTGCGCGCCTCTTCCTTACGTCGCTGCATGTCCTCGCTGTCGGGGATGTCGACCGGCGCGGACTGCTCAGCGCCCCGTGGAGTCTCATCTGACTCGCGTTCACTCCCCGACTGGCTGCTACAGCGACCCACACCTGTAAACAAAAAATACATTAGCTATCGCGTAAACTTCGGCTGATGTCACTGGGCGAAATCTTTTTATTGCTTAGATGGGTGGACAAACTCACAGCAAACCTGGTGTTAAGTGGTTACCGGAGCCCATAGACATCTACAACGTAAATGCGCCACTCACCTTGAGATTATAAGTTCTAAGGTCTCATTATAGTTACAACGGCTGCCCCACCCTTCCAGCCGAAACGCATTGCTGCTTCACGGCAGAAATAGGCAGGGTGGTGGTATCTACCCGCGCGAACTCACAAGAGGTTCTACCACCAGTAAAATGTTCTACCACCAGTAACCGGAAACTTTCAATAAAACACCGTGAAGACTGGTGAGAGATCCCATTGTCCTTACTTAAGAAGCAACCTTCCCTTCACAACTGTCACCAATGCTATAATCCTCAGTTATTACAAAATTTACTGACGAGTGTTCATAGTCAATAACGGATGTCGTGTCGTACCCAATTGAACGCTCGTCTATATAATTAAATCACAAGTGAACGAACCTTCAAGGTATCGCCAAGCAAACTCCATTCAAAGTACGTCTAATAGCCATTCAACCAGCGCAACACGTCTATGTAATGAACACACAATGTACAGACTTCATGATAACAATTCGAAAAAGTAGCATAACTTTTGCAATGTAATTACGCGAGACATCTTGAGCAAATGTGACGAGTGCAGTCAAAAATGACAGTTAGTTGACGGTTAAGTTTGATGAGATCTCGCGATCAGTTCTGTCCTAACGAGGTTTTAAGTCTGTTCGAAACATAGCAACCCTATTTTCCTCACCGCGGCGGAAGCGGGGGAGAGGCGTGGACTTACAAAATAAAACGACGTGCATCAACGAAAAACGCACGATAATTGAGTCGTCTATTATCAAAGGTGGCAATCTGTGCATTTGGACAAAAAAATTTTATTGATATGTCAATACAGATTGATTTGAATATAATCGTCTCCTTCAAAGAATACGGTTCAAAACCTGCATTAAATAAAGGTTAATACTTAACCTGTTATTTATCTAAGATGTCGTTCAGAAGAGTTTTGTGACTGCCAATGGAATACAAAGTCAATAATTCGTTTTTCTCATTTACCAAAAATTGTCCAAAAGTCACATTGCCGGCTTTGATAATAGTTGACTCAATTGTCGGTCCTGTAAAATTGTACTAATTTTGATCAGATTTAATAAACCAGCTATAAATACAGTCCACTTTTATTTGAATAAGCCTCGCACCCAACATCTCATCGCAACGGCGCCATCAAAGTCTCAATGTTTAAAGAGCCCAGAAGACGACTTGAAACAATTGGAATGGTTGGTAATGAGAAAAATGTTCCCCCGATAAAAGTATTGGTAAAATTTCATGGTGGACGTGATTGAAATATCTGGTTACGGCAACAGAATAGCGACCGGCATGGGCAGGACTCTCGCGGAGCTGTGTGCCAAACGCGTAACGCTATTGTTTCGAAATTTAACCTTTTTTCGCTTCGAAAATTTATGCATTTACCGTGACTCCGCTTTATTGCGTTTTCTATTCGATTTTTTATCGATGCCGTTTGATAATTGAACACACGAAACTAATTATTCATGATTTGCTATTCGCCGGCATACGTTTTATGTTTGTATAAATGCTTGGCAATGAACGTTATTAACGACAAACAATTACTAATTCTTATTCCATGTTAACCGAAATACAAGTTTATTGTGTTTAAATACAGATTAAGTATGTTCATTGTCATTGTCAAAATCAACGACCGGTGAGAATAGGAAATAGGGGTAGGTAGCTTGGCTCTGCCCCCTGACACTGCTGATGTCTATGACCGACAGTAACCACTTACCATCGGACGGACCGTATGCTTATCTGCTTATAAAGGCAATAACAAAAAAATAACAAAGCATGAAAAACGATGCATTTTCCAATATGAACGGAGCTATCGTTGTTATTCTAAAGCAATCGAGATTCGACCTATCTCCTATGGGTCGCAGGAACCACGTTGTACCTTCATCAAATCAATTGGTCAGCGAGATCGTCTTCCTGTATATATATCCCTAAATAAAAAATCCCTGCAAATCAAAAAACATACTAAGAGGATGACGGCGCAAAATAATTCGATTCACACAAGGCCAAGACACGTGACAAACGAATTATTTCGATTGTATAATAGCGAAACTTCCAGAACAACATATCATTCACAGTTGTCATCGATAGTGGAATGACGGGAGACGTGGCAGCACGCTGAGTTGGCAAACAAAGCCGGTTCAATGACCTACATGGCCGCACCCAGCGCTCACGCACACCCACTGTACTACGCGATCGACTCTTTTGTCCAAACACACTCCAACAAGATCTGTTAATGCGTACAAATGAATGTCGTTACGTCGAATAGTAGATACGGAATTAATACCTATAAAATATATAGACCAGACTGCACAAAGTGGGAATGAGTTGCTCGCTCCGGGCATTTCAATATTGTTATAATTGTTGCGTTATAATACTCATTTTAAAAATAAATATTTAAAAAAAATCTAATATTAAAAAAGAAAACTAATATTTAAAAAAAAAGACATGCCCGCTGAGTTTCTTTCCAATTCTTCTCAGGACGGAGACTAGTTTTTGTGATTTAGCGGTAGTTCTTTTGACGTTAAACAAGTATGTACTTTCATTTATGTTGAATAAATTTTTTTTTATTTGATTTGATTAGATTTGAAAAGTCGTGTAGTCGTTATTATAGGAATACTAAACCTACTTCTAATTCTACACTTTGAGACATTTTTTATGTTGTGTTTATTTTGTTTTGTTGATTGTATTCTCAATCGTCTATGAGGAACATTTCGACGTTGCTAACATTCTTACTTACTACATTATATACATAAAATGTGACATTCATTTTATGTGAAATCAAAAAATGTAACACGATGCCATTGCATCATCAATTTAATTTCTTGTAAGACTCGAACAAAAAGTAGTTTTAATTAAGCTGGCAACACGTAATTCCGTTGACGGGGGGATTATCCCGATTAGCGTAACAAACTATGTAATGTATAATCCGCTTTCGGGTAAAACAATAATTAAATAACAGAGGATGTTAAAACACAAAGATGGAAAGACCAAATGAAAACGTTTATCAATAATAAAGTACCTTAAATCTTGACTTCTGAAATATATATTTTCAATCAGAAATGAAATTAAAATTGAAAACAAATTGTGAGCTACATCGTTTTTTTTTTAAATCTTACATTTTTTCATAATAAAATGGCTCAATTTATATTCTAGTGTTTTCTGTTAAGTGACAATTTCGTATCATAATATCAGCCCTAATTGCTCCGTATTTAAGATGCACACAGAGTATAAAAGAGGTATTTAAGGTACAGAGAGAGGTATAATTTATATTTTTACTGGTAAATGGTTTGTCCAAATTTAGCTAAATCTGTTATTAGAGACACATCACACACACTTTGTCTATGTTTAGAGACGCAGCTGTTTGAAATCCGAATCGCGTTGCCGCAGTCGTGTGGCGCTTGGATCTGGATTTAAAGTTTTATTTACATTTTTAATTACTTATGTTTCGTGTGTAAGCAAAAGTGTTATGTTGTACTTTACAATTTCGAATACATGATTATCTTCTATTTAAACCATAAAAATAAATAAATAATCAACATTCTACCAAACGGGTATTGTGTTTATTAAAAACATCTTTTCACGTTCCTTGGCTTAAATTATCCTATAAAGTTATACGTAAAAAACTTGTTCTAACAAAAACTGGTTATGTTCAAGATGTGTTTTTTTTTAAGCAAATGAGTTTAATGCGCGTCTCATTTGAATGGAGAGAAGCGAAAAATTTAACTTGGATAAATATATTATGTATACATATAAAAATATTTATGTTTGTTCGTTTTTATAGAAAATACTTGAGTAGGCGAAACTCAAAAATGTGGCTCCATTTAAGAAATCATTTAAACCTTAAGTTATATTTTTATACTAATATATAAATCAACAGTGATTTTTACGGATGTTCCGTTATAACTACTGAACCATGCATCCGATTGACTTGAAACTTTGTATCCATGTAGAAAATACATGGACTTAATGGATAGGCTATTATATGAGTGTTGGACTCCCTACACCAGTTGCAGGGGCGTTCATGATGAGAATCTTTGTGGGAGTGAGAAATAATAATGTTAATTTTAAATTCCCAGCGAAGCGGACGGGTACAGCTAGTTTAACTTGCCAGTTTAATGATCTAATAGAACAAACTCGGAATTTGTGACCACAGAATCACTAACATCTAATGCGCAGTGACAACGCGCGGCCGTGTGCATGACACACACGCACAACTATAACAATTCAGCCACACCCACACAAACGTGTTTCGAAATAGACAGACACTTCCTGTTTATAATATACTGAATTCGTTCTAATTTTTATACGTAGGTTTTTTTTTCCTTCCCAAAACAACGTACAAAAACTGCACACGTTGTATTCTAATGCGTTGAAGTAAAGAAACAACGTGATATGGTAAAGGAAGCGAGCCTTGACAAATTTAAAATCGAGAGTTACTGAGTCACAGTCTGCATCGTGTCAGATATGTCACGCAGCCTACATATCGACCTTGAGAACCTAAATTGAAACATTCAACTTTTGTTCGAACATGATCGGAAGTGTACAGTGTGCAACTACAAGTTTTTAACGTTCTCGTTAGCGTAAAAGTTAATTACCAATTTTAATTACCAAATAATAATACCAAATTTGTATGCAGTTGGAAATGCACCCGGCAAACGTAGGCAAACGTTCCAACCCCATACAAATTTCAGTTAACTTTTACGCTATCGAGGACGTTAATAAACTCGCATTAAGCACACTGTTACCACGAAAAACAATATTCAATATCAGCTCTGTTGTGCCACTCGATGTATAATAATTATTGAAGCTTTTATTAGTGAGACCACGACTGGTTTTTAATAATTCAAGGAAACTCGA